TTTTTAAAGGCCTAAATAATCAGGGAGATAAAATGGCTATGGATTAGAAAACCTACTATCATAAATAAATTCTCTCCAAACTGAGCTATTATTTAATAAATTAAATGTAATTCCAATCAAAGTCTCAAGAGATTTTTTTTTGCAGAACTTGACAAGCTGATTTGAAATGTACATGAATGCTCAAAAGCCCAAGAATAGCCATGACATTCCTGAAGAACAAGATACAGGGAAGGACCCACTTTAAGTGCAGTAAAGCTGTAAGAATGACAGAAGAGTGGCAGTCACACAGGGATGGGCACACTGACCGATGGAACTAAACAGAAAACTTAGGAACAGCTTAGAAACACATACGGACATTCGAGTTTTGACAAAGGTGGCACTGTGAAGCAACAGGGGGAAGAAGCTTTTCAATATGTGATGCAGGGACAACCAGATATCCATATGGGAAACAATGACATCGGGCCCCTCACAGTATACATACATGAAACAATCCAGGTTCTAAGTGTGAAAGATAATGCAAGAGAGCTTTTAGAAGATAATTTAGGAGACTATCTTCAGGATTGTGGAGAAGGGAAAGGCTTCTGAAACTAGACGCAGAAAGTACTGCCCATAAAGGAAATGATTGCTAAATTCAACTACTTTAAAAATAAAAACTTCTGTTCATCAAAAGACATCATTAAGAGAAAGCAAACATAAACCACAGCTTGGGAGATTTTTGCAACACATATAACCAAAGAACTTGTAACCATAACATATTTTAAAAATCTTACTAATTTGGTAAGAAAAAGACAACCCGATAAAAAAAGAAGGAATTCTACATAAGCTTCACAAAAGAAAAAGCTAAATCACCAATAAACAAATGAAAAGATGTTTAACCTCATTAGTCATGAGGGTCACGAAACTTAAACTCACAATGTGATATCATTAACCTGCAACCATAAGGCCGAAAATAAGAAGTCTGGCAACACTAAGTATTGATGTATTAGAGCCACAGGGGCTCTCGGGCACTGCTGGTGTGAGTGTAAACCAGCACAACTGCTTTGGAAAACAGTTTGGAAGGTATACATATCCTATGACCGAACTATTTCACTCCAAGGAAGTCCCTGAACCATGTGCACCAGGAGCCCTATATAAGAATATTTACAGCGGCATTGTTCACAATAGCTCAAAACTGAAAACAACCCACATATCTATTTACAATGAACAAGATAAAAAAATCTTAGTATATTTATACAATAAAATAACTACTCATTAGTGGAAATGAATGAAGTACTGATGTATGCAACAAGGATGAACCTCAGGAATATATGATAAATAATGAAGGCAAGTATTGTAAGAATATATTTAGTATGATTTCATTTAAAAAAAATTTAAAACATGCAGAACAAAATTTTTATTATTTAGGAGTATAACACACATGAGAGAATGATCAACATAGAATTTAGGATTAACAGGATTAACCTGCCAGGTGAGAGGCAAGGGGAAAGGATGGGGAAAATTCATAGGCAATATTACACAGGAAATTGACATACATGGGAAACACATCTA